GAAAGAAAGATTAAGCTATAATTTGCACATTGGTCTTCAGGGTAATTTATCCCTCAAAATTTGGAATTTATTTATAATTTATAGTCCACCTACTTCCATAGAAGGATTTGAGACAGCACATTTCGGAACAGGACTCCAAGAATATTATATCTGGGATTAGTACGTTCAAGTTCTGAAAGTAATTTAGTAGAAAGTGAAAATAAATAACTCTGTTAAAGATTTGTCTCCCTCAAATGTTTAAAAGGTAAAGAGGGGGTTAGAAAACGTTTACTCTTTTCTTTTAAACATCACTATCGTATATTATTATTATTTTTAATTAAGAAAGCCTAATTCCTTTACATGATGCTGAAGGCAGAAAGTTGGGAGGAGAAGTAGAAATCCGTGGTCAACAGCGAAGTTCGAGAAGGCGTCAGCCCTGCATGCAGGGCTACTATGAACATTCTATCAACACCACGTACTTTCCACGAGGAATCAGAGCCCGTGGTCAGCGTTCTGAGAGCTGTCTGCTAACGGGGCCCCAAGCAATGCATTTGCTGTATCGAACGTGCCATCACCTACTTTTAAAATTCCAGGGTCGGAATCCAGGTACCCATTATTTCAGGCATATATGGAACCCAGACTATAAAACTCTGGAAAAGGAGATATTTACGGAGCTCCTGGGTCTGGGAGCTGTTGAACTATTCCCAGGCGCTATTCAAAATGGGTGCTTCTCAGCAAACGAAGCCTAGGACCAGGGGTGCAAATGTGAAAAGTCACTACAAACAACGTATTCTTATTCCAGAGCCCGTCACAGAGAATCCTGATACTTGGTCCGCATGGTCAGCGCGCATCCTCCGGCGGGCACCTCCGCCTGCCAGGCAGTGTGGAGCCTGGCTGCTCTCCAGGGTTGCAGTTGAAACAAAAATTTCCTTCAAAACTTAGTTTGGTTGGGACTTACCACAGGCTTTGGTTTGGAACTTTCCAGTAATGCCCAAAATAATTTGACCCGAGACACACTGGCTGACCACCACCATCACCAACTCCTAGGAGAACCGTCTGGAAGCAGGCTGAGGCTGCTTGGGTTGACCACCCAGAAGAGTGTGGGGAATAACACAACAAATGAATGAAAATGGGGGTGGGCAGACAGAGAGAGAGTGGGCAGAGGAAGGAGCTGGTGGTGGGGGCGGGGGGGTGCTGAGCCTGAAGGGAAATGGCTTCAGCAACCAGGCATACGTGGCCTCTTGAGGGAAGACTTCATCACCGTCTAGGAACTATGCTTGCCAGAAAATTAAATAGCAATTTGTTCAGGCCAACAACATAGACGACAAGGGAAATGTTACATGACAGTCACTGAAGTACAGACTACAGCAGACTTGAGAAGGCCACCGGGCCCTTCAGCAAATGCAGGGTGGGGCAAAAGCAGGTGTACAGTTGTGAGTGTGTGCAAGAGTGTATCCCTGAATTAGTATTTATTAACTATTGAAGTATTGTCCATACGCACAACTATATACCTACTTTCATCCCACTCTGGATACTGCATTAATTTTTTTTTAAAGAAAAACAACTGAGGGAAAACCTATTGATTAAAATGCATTGACCTTATTCGAATCCTGATTTAAACTGAAAGAAGGAGAAAGAGTAGAAAGTTACTGTTTTAAATGGTTTTAAGCCATTAAATTTCAAAGCAACATTTCACTCAGCAAGACACACCAGTACAGAAATCCACACTGAAGAACACGGCTGGAGTGTGGACTGACGAAAAGAGTCCAGTTGGAGTTCAGACAGACTTGGATTCAAATTGTGGAATCCACTGCTTGCTAAACTTGGGAAAGTCATTTAGACTCTCTCTCTGAAAAGCTGGGGCCTTTCAACTTGTAAAACAGAGATAGAAATGACTAATGCCCAGGGTTGCCATAGGAATGGAAAGAGAAATGTGCTTAACACACTGCCTGCAGAAAATAAACAGAGAGTTGATAAGAAGCTGTGATTTTGCATCATCATGTTACCAGGGCTCATTGTGTAATGGCCTCCCTCCCACCCCCCAAACAAAAGAAGATATCCCCAAAGAGGCAGACCCTGTCTCCAGTCCAAGCAGAAGGCAGATGGGGACCCCAGAGTGCAGTGAAGCTGAGTCTCCCCCCACCATGTGCATTTCATGTCTGTTTCCACCTTTTTTTGGTCTGGCCTAGGGGAGATGCTAGTCTCCCTGAGTGGGAAACACACTTGAGCAGGAGCCAGAGCCCAGGGAATAGTGCAAGAAAAAGGAGCCTGAAATACTTCCGGGGTGCTCCCAGCCTGACTTTAAAATGGAATATGAAGTGGAGGCAGCCACGTGGAATTTAAATTTAAGGGTGTTTCCTCCCCTGGGTCCACCAGCAAAAAAAAAAAAAAAAAAGGGGGGGGGGGACAGGCTCCGAACCGGCAGACTTTCTTTCATTTGTCGTTATGTTTTACACGCACGGGAATGTTAATGTCTAAAGATGGGAGGTGATTATAAGAATAGAGCTACACATGTTTTTTTGGCAGCCCAGTCACCAGCACTTAAATTCACTTCTGACAGTTCTCAGAATCTAAAGACCCGTAAGTACTAAACCGTCATCTGTCCATCCAGAGAAGTCTCACGGTGGCAGGACTTCAAACGTTGAAATCACTCGCCTTTTTATGCATATTTTTGCCGCCACGATATTTCTCTACCACGTGTAAAACACGGTTCTCTCGAGAGACATCTAAAAAGAGGCTTGGGGTACGGGGTTTGCTAAAAGCAAAATCACCCTTGTTTCTGAACCTAGACGTACACACATTCAGAGTCGTTTGCTAAAATCTGAGATTAGGGCAAAATGGGTGATTGCTTTCTCCAAGAAGTTTGGGCTTGGTGATTACAGAAGGCAGTAGAATTGGATGATTTTTGAACTACTTAATGGTTAAAAACTAATGGTCCTGTTAAGACTTGGAAGAGGGTGCCATTATGTAACAGTTGGCTCCCTCCCGCAGAACCCTGGCTTCCAAAGTGGGCTGACACCGAGTGGGAGGAAGTGAAAAGAGGCCTCGTGTCTAAGCTCCTGCTGCAGCGACATGGTGTCAGGGAGAGAGCAACACGGTCAGAACTCGACAAAACTCCTACATCCGCTACCAGCCTGCCAGGTGACCCTGTGAAAGTCACTCACTTTCTCTGATCTCTGTTTCCGTCTTCCCACATAAAAGGAAAGACAGTCCCCCAGGGTGGTGAGGCGGGGCCCTGGAGTGAGGAACCACACAGGATCTGAGCCCCTCTGCTTCCCAGCCTACTGCCCTCAGATAACGAACCTGCCCTTTGGGTCTCACAACCTGCATCTGTGTAACAGGAATAATAAACGTCGCCTACCACAAAGGGTTGCTTTGAGAATTAAATCAGAAAATGCATGCAAAGGGTTCTTAGGTGCGAGGCCCCTAATAACCACTCAATAAAGGAGCTGCTGCCCTGCTGCTGTGGTTACCCTTGTTATCACCGCCCCTCCAACAACCACATTCCTTCCAGAGTCAACCCTCAGGATAACACTGCTTCTTGACAACGGAGATTATGGCTCGCCCCGGGATAACTGGGCATCCAGGGTCACCCCTCTCTTCCCAAAGCTTGGAAAAGTGCCTGGGGCTTTGGAGAGACTCATTGCATGTGTTAAGTGCGTGAACAGGTGGACAAATGAATGATGAAGGGGTACGTGAGCAAATGTCTGAAGGCTGCTGCTGCACCCTGACTCGAGGCTCTCTGAGCTCGGCCAGGGTTGGCCGCTAGCCTGGCCAACGCTGCAGACAGCACACACAGGGGTACCCCCGGGCCTGCTGGCAAACTGAGGGTGCCATCCGGCACTCCTGCGCCTGAGGGGACAGTGCAGCTCGAACTAGGGGCTGTAACTCAGCACTTCAACCTCAAGGACTGAGGCCACTTGCTGGCTCTAGGAAGGACTTTAGAGAGCAGATTTCTAACCTGTCTAAAACTGCTAAGTGAGAAATTAAGGGAGACCCCAGAAGAGTCGGATGCTGGGCAGCACGGAAGGGCAGATCTACATGGCACCATAGGAATACTTGGGTTAACATGCCTCCCCCTACATCCATCACCTACTGATGACCTGAACAGAGTCTAACCCGTCACTTATCCACGTTCTCCAAATTCAGGCGTGGTGGGGCCGCTTTTGTTTTATCCTTGGCACCCACTGCACTATTATTAACCTAATCCTCAGGTTTAATTCAACTCACAGGAAAAAATAAATAAATGAAGTTACTTTTTAATGACATTTAAACCACTATGTTAAGTCAGAAGGCAGTATTGCCTGCCCTTAAAAAATACAAGAGAACCATAAAAATAAACACTTGGAAACAAAATATCGCAATGAAAAGGGAGCTAGCCACCCCTGCTTGCCTCAGCTTTGGGTTCGAGGCCCACTCTCTCTCTCTCTGTTAGAAAGAGGGGTGAACATGTGATGTATAAACATTTGCCAGCGCCTCGCTGAGGCTGCCTCCTCAGGCAGATTGCAAGACTGAAAGTGAATGAAGACAGGAGCAAGTTCCTCAAGCTGGGCGTCCATGGTTTCGGGGCCTCGTGCACGCACCCCACAAAATCATTGCAGGTGTGCAAGCCAGTAGGCCCTCCTTGCACCGCTGGTTCTCAACCCCCTTGCCGTGCGGGACAGCTGAGTTTTCTTCTTCCCCAACGCGACTGGCACGTCCTTTCCCTCGACTCCAAGACGGCAAACATGTCTATAATCAGGATGTGTCTTACAATCACCTGGCTTTTATTAGCCACTTTTACGAGTGCTTTTTAAAAGTGTCCTTTCTTTTCATCTGGGAGGCTGTTAACAGATGGATGACGTGTCTCATCGTGAGAGTCAAGGAACTAGGGCGCACCTTCCCAGGGCCCACGTGAACGGGCCTCCTACTTGGACACCAGGACGGCACCGCAGCCTGCGCTCTCCCAGTTAACGTCCCTCTGATAAAGACGTCACGGCGCTAAGATGCTGGGATCTATGGCCCTCCCCTGCAACACTCACACATTCTTGGCCTTGAACACTTGAGCGAAATGCTGCACGCTCCGGAGCACGGCGAGGTCCAGGGTCATCGCTTCCACCTTGGCTTTGTGCTGGAATGAGAGAAAATAAAGAGAAATGATAAATAACAGCAAGTTCAGTTCACGGGATCGAGTTACGGTAAATGTGTTATGGAACATGTCGGAATTCCCCTGTTTAATATTAGACGCCCAGAGAGGATATAAATCACTGCAATGAATGGAAGAACGGAGCTTTTACTGCCAAGTTTGGGGAGGACGTGAGGCCGGGACTCTGCGAAACTGCAGGCCGAGGGCTGTGCCGCTTCGCGCTCCCGTGTCGCCTCTCAGCCGGAGTCCTAAGGAAACCAGAATGACAGGGGACCCCGGGACAAGGCCTGGCGGGGGCGAGAATTCAGCAGACAACATTTTCATGTCAAAGGCTGCCATCCGGGTGCTGAAATGATTCCACCAAGACTGTCTGAAGAAAGGAAAGACAATTCATGTACACAAAGTCCAAAAACAGGCAAAAGTCATTTATTCCGCTGGATCGTGCCGGGCCCAGATCCCCTGGTGTAGTGACTCAGAAAAGCCCGTAGACAGGGGGTGCGCAGGTGGGTGACCGTGATGATGTGAATAATGACTACAGTGTCTTCGGAGCCTGCCGTCATGTGGCCACTCGCATGCACCATCTCATTTCACCCTCACAGGCTTCGATGCGGCATCTTGTAAGACGTCACAGACGTAAGAAACGGGGGAAGCCCTGACCGCTGATACGAAAGCCCGAGAGCCCTCCCGAAGAAACTGGAAGGCCTGGGCAGCCAGGGTTCGAAGCGATCAGTCCCACTGGACGGCCTCCAGGCACCGTTCTGGAAGGTCAGGGTGGCCTCGTGTGGAGGGCCCACTCCCAATACCTAAGCTGGGCTGACTTCAGGGAGTGAGGTTCGATACTAGCACGTCTAAGACCTGGCTCCCCGAAGACCGGAGGCCAGGCCGCCTGCCTGCTCAGCTAAGAAGAGCCCCACAGAACAAATGGTTAACTTGGGGATTTTGTCTAGACGGCGATGCTCAGGGAAGACTGAGGAGAGTAACACGGTGCCTCTGAGGCCGTGAAGGGGGGCGCAGAGCACCGCCGAGGACACCCTGCAACCGGACTGTCTTAGTCAGGGATGGACACAAACTGCGCTGAAGTGCTCTGTGGATCTGCGGCAGTGGATCTGGGCTGCCTGGGTTCTGGGCTCTAACCCGCCTCCCAAGCGTTGAATAATAAACATCAGGCTGCCCTGGCCAGTGTGGCTTAGTTGGTTGGGTGTTGTCCTGTGCACCAAAGGGTCACCTGCTAGATGCCAGGTCAGGGCACATGCCCCTGTTGTGGACTTGATTCCCGGCGGGGGCATGCCGTGGGGGGCCGGTCTGTTTTTCCCTCACACAGATGTTTCTCTCTCTCCCCCCCTCCTTCTCTCTCTCTAAGATCAAGAAAAACATTTTAAATAAATAAAATAAACATCAGGAAGAGGTAGCTGGGAAGCAGACTGACTTGGGGCCATGTAACAATTCTGAGACTCAGTTTCCTCATTTGCGAAAGGTGACTATTAATGATCTAGCCACAGACCTGTGAGAACAAGTGTAAAGCACCTAACGTCCTGTCTGGGAGAAAGAGGGTATTTGGTAAATTGAACTAGAAAGAGACAAATGTCCACTGTGCCGGTCTTCCCTGACACTGGCCCGCAGTGAGTTGGGTGGACTGCCGGTGGCGACGGAGTTAATGATGTGCAAGAGTCCCCCTGAGGACCACAGCGGACCTGATCTCTGTCATACCCTGGAGGATCTGGGTCAGGTTTAGGGAAAGGGGGGCAGAGAGTGTGGCTATGGCTTCTCCAAACCCAGCGGTGTATCAGCGGCGACAGAGGGAGCCGGTGCGCACGGACCTCCGTCGGAGAGCAGGGGCAGACGCACGCACGTGCAGACTGAAAGGAAGAGGAGAAGCGTTGCCCTTGCCCGAGGAAACGGGGAAAGTGGAAACACAGTTTTTGTTCGGGTTTCCTAAGCTCAGGGGTGTCCGAGCTGGAGGATCCACAGTGAGGCAAGGCTGCGCCCCTCAGCCCAGAGGGCAGGACACTGCCACCAGAGGTGAAGGAACTGGGGTGAGGCCGCCCCCATGCAGACGGCGTGGGCTTCCAGAACAGGAGCGAAACCCTCTGTGCTTTCTGCCTGAATAACTGGTATTTATCTGATGGGTGACAGCGGAGGGTGAAGTCTGTGGAAGGCTAGTGTATCCCCCTGGGGATTCTTACGCCCCATCCATGCTGCTCTACCCGATCTGACGTTCAGACTTGGCAATAGAGGGGCCTTTCCCCCTCGCCCTGAGTCCCCGGCCTCTCACTCCGTTCGCTGCATGGTCCGCAGAATCTTACAGAACTCTGAACGCATCCCAAGAGGACAGGTGGAGGTCCGTCCTGCTGGGGAAAGGGTGGCAGACACTGTTCCTCCCAGCCAAGCCCCTATAAAAGCCCCACGAGATATTATGAAAATGCAGGCACAAATCTCTGCCATTCAACAGGGAGAATGTTCCCAGATGGCGACCCTGAGCCATTCTGCAGTGCTGACCAGGGCCCGGCCGAGCGGGCCTTCGCCTGCTTCTGTGTGGAACTTGCAGCTAATAGGTTGTCTGTGCCCCCCCCCCCACTTTACAATAAAGCACCGAGCTGCCACCGCCAATAAGAACAAAATCAGAACATACACATCCAGGGGGAGCGAGGGGTCACCAGCCATCAAGTAGTTTAACAGACTAATCCACAGGCTGTGGTTACTGGGCTCCTGGGGGCCGTGATTCAAGTCCGAACACTGTCACTCAGGTAATTTTCCTGCCCTCGGCATCAGGTTTCTGTTTCTGCTACCGACCCTGAGAAACGCAGTGAAACTGTGCGATTCGGTCAATTCCGTGAAAGAAAAGCACAGCTTTAGAATCGGGGTGTGTGTGTGTGTGTGTGTGTGGTGGGGGTGCGGGGAGTTGCTCTTCTGATTGTCTGAAGAAAAGTTAGCAACTTTATCAAAGTGTTTGTTCCGAGACATGCTCCCACTGAAAATGCAGTGGCTGGTGCGTCCTATTTTGGAGGCTCCACTGCCGATGGCTGGGTGAAGGCAAAGATTCCATCTCCCGATGTGAGCGTTTCTGCCAAGTCTGGCCTTGGATCTGGGACTGGCCGCGATCCACTTCCATGGTTTAGCTATTGAACCTTTTTGTGGCAGCTGTTAATGTTGGAACTAATTATAGACTCCGAGAAGTGGTACATAGAGGGCTCGATACCCACCTCCCAGCACCCTCCAGTGGTGACATCTTACCCGTGTACACTTGTCACGTTATCAAAGCCATTGGCACAGTGCGATCCATACGACATCAGACATTGCTAAGGTGTCACCAGTTTCCGGATGAACCTCTTTTCTTTATTTGTAACGTCTTTGTGTATAATTCTGAGACATGTTAGCACATGTATAAATTCATAAAATCGTCACTGTATTCGAGATACAGAAATGTTCCGTCACCACGAAGGAACCAGTGAGTTTTGTATTCAGAGGGTGTTAGAATTAGCACATGCCATCTGGCCTTGCTAGGCCAGAGTCTGTTCTCTGGATCAGCCAAACAAACGCATATGCAGAGTCCCAGCTTAAAATCCTTCTGTAGCCCAGCCGGTATGGCTCAGTGGTTGAGCATTGACCCATGCACCAAGAGGTCACCAGTCCAATTCCCGGTCAGGGCACATGCCCAGGTAGTGGGCCTGATCCCCAGTGGGGGGCATGCAGGAGGCGGCCAATCGATGTTCTCTCTCATCTATGTTTCTATCTCTCTCTAAAAAATCAATAAAGAAAAAATAATCCTTTTGTAGCTCAAAATGGCCAACAAGATGTGGTCCGGAATCCTTAGGGTGGCTCACTCAGAGTGTCTGTGTCTGTGTCAGTCAGGATGTTTCCGTAAAGAGCAGCCCCCACCCTCGAACCTCTGTGCCTTACAACCACCAAGGTTTACGGCATGCTGGGTAGCCAGGGATCCAGGCTGATGAAGCCTCCACCTTCTCTAGCATCATCAGCCTCCACAGTGTGGGAAAGGAATGTGGAAATATCACAGCGGATCCCAGAGGCCTCCACCCAGCAGTGATGGAGGCTGCTTCTGCTCACATTTCATTGGCAAACCAAGTCATGTGACTGTGCCTGGTTTTGAGAAGGCACAACCCCCCAAGAGCCCAGAAGGAGGAGAAATGGGAACACGTAACGGAGAACAGTAACCATAACACAAAGTCCGTGTCTGGCCCTGTCTACCTCTCTAGGTGTATTTCAGGTTACTTCCTACTTCCCACTTTCATTAGTTATAATTTTTTAAAACACCAAGGAATATGAACAAAAAATGCATATACATTCCCACCACCCCAAAGTAAACTGTTACCCTTCCATGTGTCTGTCTCTCCTTCCTTGCCTGCCTGTCTCTCTCTACCCATCCAATCATTCACTTAGCTTTAACAGAACTTCATACTAACAATTCTGAATCTTAAAATGCTAGAAAATGCCTCTCTCAACCCTTCCGTAAATCCTTACACTTTTTTTTTTTTCTAGTCACACCAGTACACAAGCTTATCAACTCGGGCAAAACAGGAATGTAAATTTATTTTAAATTATGTATACAGATGCTAGTACCCATCATTTTGAAACAGAACTGCACAGGTGGCATCTCACACGTGAAGCATCAGGCAACTTCTAAGGAGCCGAGAAGCCCACCTGCTCCTGACACCCCAGGCTCAGCCAGAAAGACAGAGTAATTAAGCAGCCACATACTCTTCTTCCGAGTCCTTGGGATCCAGGGGTACTCGCCGGGACACAGTTCACCGACACCTCAACAGACCAAGTCTGCTCGGTCTGTTCTGTGTTCAGCCCCCAGACAGTTCTGGGTGGCGGCAGAGTCCTCGGATTGCTTGCTGGTAGGCAGGAGTGATCTCTCTCCCATGTTATGACTATGAATTAGCCGAGTGTGACTCAGATGTGATACCGCCTGAAACCAAAGGAGCCATATGGGGACTGTGTGGTATTTAAACGAAGAAACAGAAAGA